GGGGCACGCGAGACACACCCGACTCCTGAAAGGGAACCGCTGCCCCCCCCGGCCTGATCCCCGCCCTGCCCCTCTGGCCGGGGCGGGGCCGATCCTGGGGGCGCTGCTCGGGCCCGGGGAGCAGCGGGGGCAGGGCCAGAGACCCCGGGGCTGAGGCCCCGCCCACAGCGCAGCGCCCGGCCGAGGGGCGGGGCCGCCAGGGACCAGGCCCCGCCCCCGGGACACGAGAGCTTGTCTGAGAAGCGGGAAGGCGCCAGGGGGCTCCAGGAGGCGCCGGCTGGGGGCGGGGCGGGGCTGAACCCGGGGCGCTCCCTTACCTGGGCTCGAGCGAGAGGCGCCCCGCCCAGCGTAGTTCGACTCTCCTCACAGCGGAAGTGACGTGTCAGGCTGCCAAGGCAACGAGCGCGCCCAGCCGCAGGAAGCGGAAGTGCCCCATATCCCCGTCCTCCCGCGCCAGCCCTCCCCGGGCACGCTGAGAAGTGCCGGGCTCTCTCTCACGCGCGGCCTTCTATTGGCGGATGGGGGTGCGCGTCAGAACGCCCCGCTCCCTGATTGGCGGAGAGACGCTGGGGCCAGCGAGTCTCAGCTCCGGGGTCTTTGGGCCTGACCCTGCTGCGCCCCCAGGAACGTCCCCCGGGGAAACCTGCGCGGAGACGTTCCCGTGAGCGGGGAATAGAAAAGCCCCTCGCCCCCCGCCCGCCAATTTCCGCCTCTTGCTCAGACCCTGCCCCCCCCCCACAGGCCCCGGGAACAGCCTCAGCCCATGGCACTGACCGGCCCGCTTAGTCCTTGTGGCAGCAGCCAGCCAAGCAGCGCCCAGCGCCCTGCCCGCCTGCAGCCCCGGCCCCGGCCCCGGCGCTAGCGCCGCCCGCGGAGACCGCCTGCTCCGGCTGGGGACACGGGTCTCGATCCCGCCTCGCCCCATCTTTTGTCGCCGTCCCCGCGGCTTTGTGCCCTGAGCGGCTGCCCCGCTCACCCCCCGTTACGGCCCCTGGGAGCGATGGGTCCTGGGAAGAAGGAGGCAGGGCTTGGGGAGAACAAAGCACCGAGATCAGAGCCCGGGCAGCACGTGGGGGCGGGTGCTCGGTAAAACCCGAGACACTGCTTCCTCAGTCCGTTGTGATCTGGAAACCCTGGACGAGCAGCTGCTGCTTCCCCAGCAGGGTCTGTGCTGGGGAGAGACCTTCATTAAAGCTCGTGTCGTGCCCAACCCAGGGTGGGACTAGCCCCCAGTGCAGCCCCGGACTCTGCCAACATCAACTGCGAGCCAGAGACTCCAGGTGACTGAGAGAGACCCCGGGGAAAGCGCTGGGGACGGGAAGGAAAGTGACTCTCTGCCCAAGGGATTCTCAGATGTTGCCGCCCCTGGGGATCTGCTCCCTAGTTGTTAAGGTGCCTGCCAGAAGCGTGGGAGCTGCTGTTCTCAGCTGCAGCCAGGATCCGCCCCGTTCACAACTGGGATTCCGATGGGGAAAGAGAAGTGGTTCCCCTTTGTGGGCTGGAGGTGGAGGTGTCAGGAAGGGAAGAGATGGGGAAAAGCCAGAGTTGTAGGGAGGGGAAAGACCGTGTGAAATATGTGGTAGATTGAACTGTCTTTGTGCAGTCAGGAAAATCCAAGGGCAGAGGTGTGTATGTGTGTGTGTGTGTGTGTCGGGTGGGGGTAACAGGGGGAGTGAATGGCATCCTTTCCCTGGTTGTGCCACTTCCCTCTGAAATATTGATTAAAAATTCCTTCTAGTTTTCCCCCTTTTCTCTCTCATTATCGCATATGGATAAAAAAATCCATGGAGATTTCCCCCTTTCCTGTACAATTATTCATTCTCTATTCTTTCATTTTATTTTATTTTTTCTCCATAATTCTCAAATGGCCATTTAAATTCTCCTCAGATTTGGAGGCTTTTCCCACCCATTTTATCTGCAGCCATTTGTCCTTGTTTAGGTGGGAAATTGTTGTCCTGACTCCTCAGTCATTCCCCAAAAGGGGTCAGGGGTTAGTGGATGCTGTTTGGGGGAGTCCTCAGACACAGCTGTCTCTAGAGTGGGGTGGGGCTGTTCACTGCCAGCAACAGGGCATGGAAGGGGCACTTTTCTAGCATTTTGTTCAGAGACTTTGTTACTGGGAGACTATGGCCTTGTCTACACTAAAGGGAAAAGTCAATCTAAGCTATGCAATTTGAATTACGTGAGTAGCGTAACTCAAATTGATGTAGCTTAGATCTACTTACCGTGGGATCCACACTACGCGACGTCAATGGGAGACACTCTCCTATCGACTCCCCTTACTCTTCTCAATTAGGTCGAGTACAGGAGTTGACGGGCGAGTGATCAGCGGTCCTCCCGTAACCCCTTAAAAATGTGTCTGTGGGCTTCGCCCTGGTGGGAGGGGCCAGGTCTACCCTATAATAAAGTTACCAAGCATTTTCCCGGCATGGCAGAATCTAGGATATCTGTTTGGAGAGAAAAAGCCCGGCAGGGGAGGGAGCAGAAATCATGATGTGAAATTAACTTACGCCAGTTCTGTAACATCTGCAGTTGCCCTTCTCACCCTGCCAGGCTGCAGAATGACATCCAGGTTTCGCTCCAGCTCATCCCATCCTCCCATGGGACAGGGAAGAGAAATGGCTGAAATGGAGCCGGTTCAGGTAAGGATTATTGGACGGTTTGCTGGTGGGTTCCTCCTGGAGGGAGAGGGACAGCAAATCACAGGATAGGGGAATGTTTGCGTAGTCTACTACCCTGTTTCCCCGAAAATAAGACATCCTCCGAAAATAAGGCCTACTTACAGTTTTGCCTCTCGTTGTAATATAAGGCATCCCCCCGATAATAAGGCATCCACCGATAATAAGGCATTTTTCATTTCTGAAAAATAAGACATCCCCTGAAAATAAGACCTAGCGCATCTTTGGGAGCAAAAATTAATATAAGACACTGTCTTATTTTCGGGGAAACAGGGTAGGAGGTTGGAGCAGGCAGGAAGTTCACAGGGAGGAGAAAGGGAGGAGCGGGCAGGAAGTTCACAGGGTGGAGAAAGGGAGGAGCGGGCAGGAAGTTCACAGGGTGGAGAAAGGGAGGAGGCCAGGCAAACCTATTGGGACTTTTTAAATATGTGGCTGAGATTCTAGGAACAGACCCATGAGACTGGAATGTGGAAATTCCCTAATTTGTGGAAGAGGAAACAACCCACTTAGATGGGGCTAGGAAAGCTGACCAGATTCCCAGTGCTGGAGCCTGATCTGACTAACCAATGGTGGATTTGAAAGATGAAGGGGGCACCCACCAGTGTGGCTTAGGGGAGATGCGCCTCCCATCATATCCAGCTCCTCACAATGAGGAGGGTGTTGGGCTTCCTACCAGGGAGCTCTCCCTGGACCCTGTGAGGGGCTCCATCTCCTGTATCAGTCTGTGGCTAGTAGATGTGTGATGGATCTGCTGGGACTGGGAGAGACAAGGGGCTTCCTGTTTGTTTCCTCATCCTGGTGTTTCCTGGATGCTCAATATGGTGTGGGGTGAGACTCTGTTGACTGCGAACCTCCAAGAGCTTCCATTTGATTGGCTCCTTTCCCCCCATGAATAGTGGTGTTCTGACTGGGGCAGCAAGTACTGAGTGCAGGGCTCTTGCTCTTTCAGGGGCCGGTGACCTTTGAGGAGGTGGCTGTGTATTTCACCAGGGAAGAGGGGGCTCTGCTGGACCCCGCTCAGAGAGCCCTCTACGGAGACGTCATGCAGGAGAACTATGAGAATGTGACATTGCTGGGTAAGGATTCCTGTCCCCTCAGTTCTTAGAAGGGGAAATGCAGAGTTAAGGTTCACGTCACCCCCACAATGCAACCTCAACTCTGCCCTGTTTCAGCAACGCCCCAACATGGCAATGACACGTACCAGCACTCTGCCCTCCACTGTTACAGAACACTTTGGAAACAGAGCACAGGAGCAGTATAACATCAAGTCTAACATCATCTTTTTGCTAATGCAAAACTTGAATTTAGATTCCATGTAGGGAACAGAAGTTTCTGACACTTGGCTGGCAGTCAAACACTGATCCCGCTCCACACAAACCATCTCAGACGTGCAAAGTGATATCACCCCTTTCCCCTCTCTCTGAGGATTCCTTTTGAGTCATTGCCTTCACTTTGCCCTGACTGAACCCTGGAGACCACTAGCACATATGCCACCAGGCTGCTGACAATCTCTGGGACAAGAACACACCCTCGTGCCCCTTCACTGACACAACCTACAACACTCAGCATGGAAATGGGGCAGACTTGGTCCCTCACGGGTCACATGCACCTC